AAGCAACCGCTGTCGTGCAGGACCACCTCCGGGTTCGCCTGCACAGCTGCCGCCACCGCCTGGAAGTCCTCTCCGGCCTCCGGTGCCAGAGAGACGGTCGGCTCCACGACGCCGACCAGCGAGCACGACGCCGTCTTGTCGTCCCGCGCCTTGCCGCCAGCAGGGGAGTCAGCGTCCTTCGCCGAAGTTGACGTCTTGGTCGACAGCTTCTCCTTGCGCGGCCGGTTTCCGCCTCGACGAGGACGACGACTGCTTGACCTCCCGCGGCCACCCTTGTCGTCGTCGTCGGAGTCACTGCGGTCGGGGCACTCGAAGGAGAGGTGGTCAGGGTCGCCGCACAGCCAGCACTCCCGTCGTCGACCTCCTCCTCCTCGACCGCTGTTCTTGGTCGATTTCTTCTTGTCGACCTCCTTGGATGACTTCCAGCCACCGATCCCACCGCCACCAGACTGTCCGCGCTCTCCTGGTCGGCCTCCTTGCTTCGCCGGAGCGACGAAGTTGGCCTGCGCCAAGAGTTCCTGTGATCGCTCAGCCTCTTGCATCGCCTCGTCCTGCAGGATGTACAAGGTCAAGTTGTCCTTGTTGAGCGTCGCCCTCGTGCTCGGCGCCATGGACAGCCGCTTCAAGAGATTGTAGCTGCTCGAGAGTCCCTGCATGACATGGGTGATGTACGACGCCGTGGAGTACTGCGCGCCGGCCATCCTGATGGTGGCGAGAATTCGCCGGGCCCGGTTGCAGTAGTCGGTCGCTGTCTCATCGTCACCCATACGCAGGTGCGTCAGCTGTCCCTCCAGCTGGGCGATGAACAGGTCGTCGGTGACCTGGTACGTCGACTCGATGAAGTGCCACGCCCGGTGGCCGGCGTCGATGTACTCTCGGCACCACTTCAAGGCAATCTGCACCCCTGGCGAGCAGCACCGCGAGATGACCGTGAAGGTCAGCAGCTGCACGGCGCGAAACTCCGCCCGCAAGTCGGGGTGGTGCTCCCCAGGCGTCGCCACGGTCCCTCGGGCGAAGCCGATCAGCCCAGCCATCTCCAGCTGGGGCTCGATAGCTTCTTTCCAGGTGAGAATGTCGGGTCGACCGACCAGTGGGGGGGTGACCGAGATCCTGTCCGGCGTGAACTTGAAGTAGCCGTAGCTCGGCGCAATTCCACCTGCTGTCACCTGGGACGCCGACATCGGCGACAGCCCACTCCATCGACCTCCAACGTCACCCTGCGAAGAGCCTGCAGCCGCCGTCGACTGCATTCCTCGCGCCTGAATGCCGCCGACTTCACCGGCGTGTATCACACCTCTCTGCCTCGACGTGCCTCCAGCACTACTGCCGACTTGACCACCACCGGCGTTGACGCCCACGTCGATGCCGCCTTGGTTGTTCACCGGACGAGGAGAGGTAGGTCGAGACGGGTGCTCCATCGCCCACGTGGAGCGGAGTCCAGCCTCGACGACCACCCAGGGCAAGTCGCCATACTCATTGGCCTCATGCTTCCTCCTCGCGTTCTCCAACCGTGCCTCTAGGGTGTCCACCACCCCCGCGTCACCTACGGCTCCTACCATAGTGACTACCGCACAGTTGCCGGCCTGGAACTACGAAATAGGTAAGTGGTGTCTACGTCGATCTGACTGAAAGGTAAGTCGTGTGCCGTCCACGCTCACCGCACCATGCGGAGATAACTACTACAACGGGAGCTAGACTACTGGTTAGGCACGTGTGCTCGTGTGATCTCTGCGTTCATTGGTCCTTAGACGTTTTCCTAGTGCTAACACTGCTTGCTAGTTCATGGGGCAATTTGGCAAGAGTTTCATTAAGAAAAGATCACAACAATTGTACAATGAAGTTGGCAATGCAAGACTACATCAGAGCTAGCACTCAGGTTGGTCAACTGCCAGCACAGCATGGTCGACCGCGTTCCAACACGACTTGGTCGTCCGCGCTCCAGCAGTGCAAAGTCGACAACTTGCCAACGCTGCAGGTCGACAGTGTGCCAGCAGTGCACCCGCTTTGCAGGTGCGTGCAGATGATTGGTATGCCAAGCCTCATCACCTGCACAGCACACACCACGTCAGCCTCGGGCTGACGGCTGCCTCTGATCTGCCACGACGACCTCGTGATACCACCACCAAGGTCGGTCTCGCCAACTTCGCCTGGGCGACCGTCGCACTCCTCCGCAGCGCTTCGTCACCCAGGTAACCTGGTTGACTGGGCAACCTCATCGACCAGCAACTCCCGTACGTGTCCGTCGACCTCCCAAGTCGACGACCACCTCGTTGTCGACCTCCCCGGGTCGACCATGCCCCTCGGTCGACGACCATGTCGCTCGACGCCCGACTGCTCGACGACCGACTGTTCGACGCCCGACTGTTCGACGACCGACTGCTCGACGACCGACTGCTTGACGCCGGCCCCTCCTTCGTCGACCATCGGGTCTAGTCGACCACCCGCAGGTCGACCAGCACATCAGCCGACCACCGAAGTCGGCTTCCCAAGTTGACGTCACCAAGTTAACGTCCTCCGCAGGCCGACGCCTAAGTCGACCTCCCCGAAGACGGCGCCACCCTGAAGTCGGCGCCCGTGCAGTGATCCCCGTGCACGTCGACCTCCTCGTCGACCAGCTCGCCCACTGCTGCAGGTCGGCTGCTCCCCTAACACCCGACCACGAAGTCGGCTCCGCCCAAGTGTGGACGGGGCCAACACAACTCCCGTTGACACCTGACTACGCGAAGGGAGTCAGGGAGAGGAGTGACTATGTAGTAGAGAGCGATGTACATGGGGGGGGGGTTCTTGGCGCAGAACTCAGCAGGAAGGGTGGCGCGGTAGCGAGTGTCACTAGTGCGGAGGTGCGTAATGAGGTCAGCGACAGTGGGAAAGGCAGTGAGGTAAGGAAAGAGGTACGGTAGCATGAGACGGCTCAGTGCAGCAGTGGCAGGGGAAGAGTAGCGCGCAACTACAGCGTCGTACAAGGTCTGAGCACTCTTATACTGACTAAAGTGCGCGCGCTCAGTGGTGGGCAAGTGGGGACGCACAGCAAGACGCGCAGCAGCATCGCGGGTGGCCCACTGAGAGCAAACAGTGGGGTCAGCATCAGCAGCAGGGGCATGGGAGGCGCCAGAGGTAAGGTCAAAGAGTGAAAGGCCGTCAGCTCTGTCGCACTGTAAGAACAGTTGCAGGTCGTCGACCCAGACCTCAAAGTCAATGGCTCGACCCTCAGCGTCAAAAGCGAGGACACTGGGGGTAGCCATGACGACGACAGTGAAGCAGTGCAAGCAGTTGGGGAAGGGCACGCAGTGACAGCAGTATGGTGCTCACCGTGCAGGGCAGGTCGGGCGGCTCGGCAGGAAGGTTGCCCGGCGACGCGGCTGCGAGGCTGCTGGGCGGCTCAGCTCCCGGGGGGCTCGGCTGCGGCTGGGCGGCTCGGCTGCTGCTGGGCGGCTCGGCGGCTCCTGGGCGGCTCGGCGGCTCCTGGGCTGCTCGGCTCCCGGGCGGCTCGGCTGCAGCTGGGCGGCTCGGCGGCTGCTGGGCGGCTCGGGTGCTGCTGGGCGGCTCGGCTGCTGCTGGGCTGCGTAGGTAGGGCGGCCGGGCCGCGAAGGTAGGGCAGCGGGCGGGTCGCAGGTAGGGCGGTGATTGGGCCGCGAAGGAAAGAGCGGCGGGTGGCCGCGAAGGTAGGGCGGCGGGTGGGCCGCAAAGGTAGGGCGGCGGGTTGGGCCGCGAAGGTAGGGCGGCGGGTGGCCGCGAAGGTAGGGCGGCGGGTTGGGCCGCAAAGGTAGGGCGGCGGGTGGCCGCGAAGGTAGGGCGGCGGGTGGGCCGCAAAGGTAGGGCGGCGGGTTGGGCCGCGAAGGTAGGGCGGCGGGTGGCCGCGAAGGTAGGGCGGCGGGTGGGCCGCAGGTAGGGCGGCGGGTGGCCGCGAAGGTAGGGCGGCAGGTGGGCCGCGAAGGTAGGGCGGCGGGTGGCCGCGAAGGTAGGGCGGCGGGTGGCCGCGAAGGTAGGGCGGCGGGTGGCTGCGACGGTAGGGCGGCGGGTGGCCGCGAAGGTAGGGCGGCGGGTGGCCGTGAAGGTAGGGCGGCGGACGGCCGCAAGTGGGGCGGCGGGTGGGCCGCAGGTAGGGCGGCGGGACGGCCGCAGGTAGGGCGGCGGGACGGCCGCAGGTAGGGCGGCGTCGGGGCCGAGATGAGGAAGCGGCGGGGCCGCGAAGGTAGGGCGGCGGGTGGCCGCGACTCGGGGGCGGCGGGGCCGCAACTGAAGGGCGGCGGGGCCGAGAGAGGGCGGCGGGGCCGCAAGGGGAAGGGCGACACGGAGGGTCGCTAACAATAATGCGCGCCTCGGGGCGCGCTTCGGTGGGCCCTAGAGAACAGTCCCTAGGATGGGACCTGCTCTGATTCTATGTGAAAGTAGGAACGTGAATGAATGAACTATGAAATGTGTGAGTACAAGTACCAACCCTTATTGGGTTGTACCCCCTATGGGATACCCCACTATAGCCTACACAAAAGTATAAGCTATAAGTTCTGACACCGTCGCCACCCTTCCACGGCCTCGCCGCGCGCCCTTACAGCGGCCCCGTCGCCCGCCCTTCCGCGGCCCCGACAGCGCCCTTCAGCGGCCCCGTCGCCGCCCTTGTCAGCGGCCCTGTCGCTGCCCTCTCAGCGGCCCCGTCGCCGCCCGCCCTTCCAGCGGCCCGTCGCCGCCCTTTCAGCGGCGCCGTCGCAGCCCTTCCACGGCCTCGTCGCCGCTCAACCGCCCACCGCCTGAGCCGCCGAGCAGCCGAGCCGCCGAGCCGCCCGACTACCGAGCCGCCCAGCAGCCGAGCCGCCGATCAGCCGAGCCGCCCAGTAGCCGAGCCGCCCGACCGCCGAGCTGCCCTGCAGCCGAGCCGCCGAGCAGCCGAGCCGCCCGACCGCCGAGCACTGAGCCGCCCGACCGCCCTACTTGCCTGGTAAGAGAAGAGTCTCTGCCACTGCACTGCCTTGCCCCACTGTGCTCACTGCCTGTCTATTGCTGTTATGGCCTCCCCTAGCGTTCTCACCTTTGACGCTGAGGGTCGGGCAGTTGACTTCGAGGTCTGGGTAGATGATCTGCAGCTTTTCCTACAGTGCGATAGGGCGGACGGCCTCTCCCTCTTTGACATCACTTCGGGTGACTCTCCTGCCCCTGCTGCTGATGCTGACGCCACTCTTCGCTCACAGAGGGCCACGCACGATGCTGCTGCTCGCCTTGCTGTGCGTCGACACTTACCGACCACTGAGCGTGCACACTTTAGCCAGTACAAGAGTGCTCACACCTTGTACGATGCTGTAGTTCCCCACTACTCTTCCCCTGCCACTGCTGCACTGAGCCGCCTCATGCTACCGTACCTCTTCCCTGGCCTTGCTACCTTTCCCACAGTCGCTGACCTCATTACGCACCTCCGCAGTAGTGACACTTGCTACCGCGCTGAGCTTCGTGCTGAGTTCTGCGCCAAGAACCCCCCCCCCCCCCCCATGTACATCACCCTCTACTACATAGTCACCCGGCTCCCTGACTCTCTTCGCGTAGTCAGGGACCACTTCCTCTCAGTTTGCCCCACCACTCTCACCGTTGACCTCCTCGGGAAGGCCCTTTTAGCAATAGAGAAGAGCATAGTCGCTGTAGGAGCCTCTCGTGGTGACCCTCGCACCCCCATCTTTGAGGGGTGTTCTCCCTCCCCCCTCTTGCCCTCTGTTGCCTCTTCTGCTGCGGCTGACCTCGTTGGTTTCGAGTCGATTGGCGCTGCATCTGCCCCGAGCGGGAGACGCCGCACGGACAAGGGCAAGGGGGGCAAGGGCGGTAGAGGGGCTGGCGGGAGCGGTGGAGGTGATGGTGGAGGCATTGGAGGGAGTGGGGGTGGTGGTGGGAGTGGTGCCGGGGGTGGCGGCGGCGGCGGCAGCAGTGGAGGAGGCGGAGGCGGTGGAGGTGGCGGAGGGAGCGGAGGCAGTGGAGGTGGCGGAGGAGGCGAAGGTGGAGGAGGCGGCGGCGGCAGCGGCGGCGGCGGTGGTGGAGCGGGTCGCGACTCTGCATAGAGGAGTGGCTCAGGTGGTGGTCCGCGCCAGCAGCAGCAGAGTGGTGTGACCCTGTCCCCTCAGCAGCTTCGTGAGTGGTACACTTCGCGTCAGTGCGGTGGGGGCTTTGGTCCCTGTGCTTACGTCCTCCGTACGGGCGACCACGCTGGTGAGCAGTGCGGCGGCCCGCACTCCACCCAGCGCTGCTTTGGTCGTCTGACGGACGCGTGGCGTCGCCAGTTCCCTGAGGCGTCACAGATCCCTCGCTGGGGAGATCTGTCTAAGGCCGGGGTTGCTATCTTTGATCTTGATTTTGATGCTACTCTTGCTGCCATGTATACTGTTGATACTAGTGTTGCAGGTAGCTGTTACTTGTGTATACGGCCTGACCCAGGCATTGAGGCTACTGCTCTAGGTGCTGGTGAGGCTGCTTCTCTAGGTGCTAGTGCGTCTGCTTCCCCAGGTGCCAGTGCGTCTGCTGCCCCTGGTGCTAGTGAGTCTACTCTCTCAGGTACTGCGTTGGCTCAGGCCTTCCACACCTTCACCCTTGACTCGGGTGCGTCCCGCTCCTTCTTTCGAGACCGCACCACTCTTACGCCGCTCAGTCGACCGGTTGAAGTCTCCCTCGCAGACCCCTCTGGGGGTCCTGTCCGTGCTAGCTTCTCCACAGTCCTACCGTGCCCGGCAGCCCCCTCTGGCACCCTGTCTGGTCTCTACCTCCCCTCGTTCTCTACAAACTTGGTGAGTGGAGCGGACCTACAGGACAGGGGGGTTGACCAGTTCACTCCTGCAAGTCAGCGAGTGACCCACTGCACGTGTGCTCGGATAGGCCTACACTTGGCCACGTTCACCCGTCGGCCAGGGTCGAGCCTGTACACCCTTACTTCTGAGTCTCCTCCTGCTGCTGATTCTGCCCAGGTAGGTGCGTTGAGTCAGGTGTTTGCTGCAGCGTCCAGGTCTGGTCCTGAGTCTGCTCCCTGCTCGTGTCGTCTGCTATCCCACCAAACTCTCCTTTGGCACCACCGCCTTGGTCACCCCTCCCTCCCTCGTCTCCGAGGCATGGCCTCCCGTGTCCATGTCTCTGGTCTCCCTTGGTCTCTCCCTCCCCTTCCCCCGGGGCCTGGCCCTACGTGTGTCCCCTGTGTCGAGGGGCGATAGCGCGCCGCCCCTCACTCCTCCGAGTTTCCTCTGACAAAGGCTCCACTGCAGACTCTCCACATGGACGTGTAGGGCCCAGCCCGCGTCAGTGGGTAGGGGCGCAAGCGGTACTTCCGATTGGTGGTTGACGACTTCTCGCGTTACACCACAGTCTTCCCCTTGCGCAGCAAGGGTGACGTCACTGAGGTGTGAGAAAGTTAGAATGAGAATGAAATGACTAAGTGAAAGTTGGGTACAAATACAAACCCTAGAAAAGCTGTACCCCATATGTGCTACCCCACTATAGCCTACAATAGCTATGTCATATAGATCTGACACACCCCCTAGGCAAAGTGGGGGAGTACAAGGGGTCACAAGAATAGTCAAGGAAAGCAAAGCAAAACAAGCTCATGGTGGATCACAAAGTCACCACACAGTCCGAGCACAAGTTCAAGGCCAGAAGGCCAGTTCACATGCACGAGCACGTATATATATATGAGGCTAAACAAGCAAGAGCAGGAGTATATATATACCGTTGTAATAACTGAACAGGAATGAATGAACTAACAGTGAAATGAGTACAAGTACCTAACCCTAGAATTGTGTACCCCCTATAGGCTAACCCAATGTAGCCTAAACAACCACAATATATATATAATGTTTGACACACCCCTAAAGGCGAAGTGGGGGAAAACTAGGGGTCACAAGACCAGTCAAGGCGAAGCAAGTCAAAACAAGCTCAGGGTGGATCTCAAGGATACCACACAAATTCCGAGCACAAGCAAGTGCTCACAAGACCAGTTCACATGCAGGTTTATAATAGAGCAAAAGGTATAAGGATCACAAGCTAGCAAGAGTAAACATGCAGGTATATATATATAGAGATCACAGTACAAACAGACTCAAGAAGTAAGCAAGTGAGGTCCAGTAGGCATAAGGCCTAGAAGAGTGCAAAAGCGCTGATGGTCACAATGCTGAAGCGCCTTGGTGAACACATCAGCAGTGTTGGCCTTAGAGGCCACGTAACTTTGGCGAAGCTAACCACGCTGCTGCAGTTCTCGAGAAAGGAAGCAACGCAGAGCAATGTGCTTCGTTCTGTGCTCCAGTCTGTGCTCCTCACACAAGGCAATGGCTGCCTTGTTGTCGACGTACAGCACTGGAGGACAACGAGGCTGCTCTCCAAGGTCGGTCAGCAAGTAGGTGAGCCAGCGTAGCTCCTGGGCCGCCGTGGCTGTGGCGTAGATCTCAGCCTCACAACTGGAGCTGAGAACAGAAGAAGAGCGAGTAGAACGCCAAGAAATGAACAAGAGCCAAGATTGAAGGAGTAGCCTTGAGACGACCGCTGAGTAGCCTTGTCGTCTGCTCAAGAAGCGTCTGAGTGCCTAGTGAGAACAACTAGGACTCGCCCTCCAAGCACTAGCCCCATGCCCAACGTATTGCACAAGTAGCGCAATACCCTCTTAGCTGCATCCATGTGCTCCTTCTGGTGACGGCCGGGAGCGACATAGCGTGCAAGAATGCTGAGAGGGTATGCAAGGTCAGGTCGAGTGCAGGTCATCAGGTATATGAGGCAACCCACAAGCTCTGGATACGAGCCACTCGACTCTACGGACTCATCCGAAGGCAGAGCTGAGAGCGAGTGACTGGTAGGCAGAGGAGTGGGCTGAGGCGAGGAGTACGTGAAGCGGAAGCGCTGAAGGACCTGCTGCACCATGTGTGACTGAGTCAAGGTGATGGTGCGGCGTGCTCTGTCCCGGGTGATCCACAAGCCAAGATAGCTCGTGAGTTCACCCAAGTCTGTGCATGTGTGTCTCTTCTACAGTTCCGACTTCACGTGGGCGAGTGCCACAGTGTAAGCAGTAGCAAAGGCCAAGTCGTCGACGTACACAAGGACGTAGAACGGCGGCAATAAGGTGTCGGTGCGTAGAAACAGCGACGGGTCAGCAGTAGAAGGCGCGAACCAAAGAGCCGCAAGCGTAATCCTCAGTGTGTCGTGCCACTCACGAGGGGCCTGGCAGAGACCGTAAACTGGCCGTCGGAGGCTCCACTGGGTACCAAGAGGGAACGACCCAGTGAAGCCAGGTGGACGACGCAGCCAGATCTCCTCGTGCAGGCTGCCCTGTAGGAAAGCAGTGCTGAAGTCAAGCGAGTGAAGCTCGTAGTCACGCTGAGCGGCGACGTGCAGCAGAACCCGAAGAGTGGTCATCTTTGGGGTCGGTGAGAAGGTCTGGAAGAAGTCAACTCCCTCTCGCTGACTGAAGCCTCGTGCAACGTAACGCGCCTTGAAGACTGGCGGAGAGCCCGGCGGCCGCTTCACACTGAAAATCCACATGCCACTGACGATGTTCGCCCCAGGTGGGGGAACCTCGTCGACCTAGGTGCCTGTGGACTTCCAGGAAGCCATCTCTGTGTCCATGGCCGACTGCCAGTGAGAGGAGTAGGGACCAGCCATCGCCTCTGCGTAAGAGCGTGGGGTCGGGATGTCTGGTGCATCCGGGTCTCCCTCAGGGGCAAGTAGAACAAACGCGAGATGAGGTGAAGCAGCAGCGAGACACTGGAACTCCTCCTGCCTGTCCTCAAGGACGTCAGTGCCAAGAGCACACTCACCCCCGACGGATGGAGGACAGACAGACTCAGACTCAGCAACTAAGGCAGACGCAGCAGCAGACTCAAAGGAAGGGTCAGTGACAACAGTAGCCAGGAGACGCGTGACAGTAGGACTCGCAGCACGAAGAGAGTCTGACGCAGGGTCAGCAAGAGCAGAAAGAGAGGAAGCAGGAGGAGACGGCAATGGGACACGCTGCGGAGCTGTGGACGGACGAAGCGCCATCCGGTGAGTGCCTGGGACAGTAAGAAGACGGTGACGCTGGACACGACTACTAGAGAGAGCAGTGCAGACAGCCGACTCAGGACGAGACTCAGGCGACGCAAGTCGAGAGTGAGGCTTACGACGCTCAGTAAGACCTCCTGTTGGACCAGTGTAAGGAGCAGGACCGGGGAGAGAGGACACAGACGGCAACTGCGACTGCAGCTGGACAGATGGAGGACACGCTATGGAGGGAGGAGGACAAGGAGGAGGGAGCTGACCAAGAACCTGCTGAAGGAGTAGAACGAAGTACGGCCGTGACCGTGCAGCGACACTAGAGCGAGTAGGGACACCTCCACTAGGGTCCGCAGCACCAGCAACAGCTCGAACACCTGGGTCCTCAGCACCAGCAACAGCTCCAACACCCGGATCTGCAGCACCAGCAGTAGCTCCAACACCTGGGTCCGCAACATTAGCAGCAGCTCCAACGCCCGGGTCCTCACCACCAGCAGCAGCTCCAACACCCAGGTCCTCAGCACCAGGAGCAGCTCCAACGCCCGGGTCTGCAGCACCAGCAGCAGCTCCAACACTTGGGTCCTCAGCACCAGGAGCAGCTCCCACGACAGCGGGGTCGGCAACACGAGGCACGTCACTCCAAAGAGTGCAGCGCCGCTCGTACCACTCACGGATCTGCTCACGGGAGGGGAGCTCTCGAACGGGAGGAGAAGCATTAGCACCAGTCCCAGCAGCACGTCCGGCTCGAGCAGCACCTCTCCTGAGGCTGAAGTACTGCAAGTACCACTCACCCAGCTGCTCCGAGGAGAGGGCTCCTCCAGGTGTAGGACTCCCAGGCCCAGTACCTCCAGACCGAGAACCCCCAGACTCTGGACTCTGCGGCTCACCACCCCAAAGCTCAGTACCCCCAAGCTCAGCACCCCTAGGCTCCACACCCCCAAGCTCAGCACCCCCAGGCCCCACACCCCCAGGCTCCACACCCCCAGTCTCCACACCCCCAGGCTCCACACCCCCAGGCTCAGCACCCGCACACTGCACACCCCCAGGCTCAGCACCCCCAGGCTCAGTACCCCCAGCAGGACGAGAGTCGACAGCTACCTCAACAGGCTCAA